ACAGATAACTAGAGCCCGAGGGACTAAAGTAGCAATAAGGTTCGTTTTGCGACTTTTAGGACTGAAAGAATCTCATCGTGTGTACTGTCCTGTAAAGGTAGGTTTTCTATATATATTGGTGAGAAAACGAAAATGATAAAAAGTAAAGTTAATTAAAGTAAAAATAAATAATAACGATAAATAATTGGTTTTAAAATGAACAAATTATACTATATTATTAAACCTTACCTTAATTCTGATTTGTAAATAACAGAAATTACATTTCAGCGACTTAATCTGGTTCCCGCCATATCAGTTGCTATTTATGCAGTTTAAACTATAAATAGAATCGCACCCACTACTGTATCTGTTGTATCCCAGCTGGTCTAATGGTCCTTGGTATTGTAAGAAAGGCCTTATCGGCATTGAATATGACAAATATAGTGTGGTTGGCATATTATTATACATTCTCCTTGACTTTCATTCATAGGTTAATAAAAATAATAATAGTATATATTTACATATACATGTATATATAAGCCTCGAAGAAAGTGGTAATTAACTTTAGGATATTTAAAATGAAGCTGAAGGCATATGGTCGAAATGCATTTTATTATGTTACATACACGATTACCTATATACTGGTGACTGCAATGTTCCAATGAAGTAACCGAAAAACACCTTACGCCAACTAATTATATTTCTCTAAAACACGAGATGACACAATTCTTCTCCATCTGCATTGGAGGCTCTTGATGTTTGAGCAGACAGTCTTCTGCACATTTGCATATAATCCATATTTCTGTCCACTGGCTACTTGTTCTTAGCAGTGACGCTTTAGAACCAATATATTGTTACATCTCCGTTTGTTAATTAATTTTCCGTAACTTCGTTCCGACGAAACTTTAGCGACACAAGTCCTTACTTAATAAAACTGGTTTATTCTTTCCGAATATAACTTTACGATATACTTAATTTCAACATTCGCGCTAAAACAAACACTATAACGAACGAACGTTAACTTCAACAATACCCTGTGACTGCAGATCAATTACTCACTACCTACACACA